CCGCCAAATTGAAATCGTCCTGTTCGAGCGGGTTTTTATTAACCCTCTCGTGCATGATTCAATATTAAAAAATCTAAATGATTTTGGGAATCTCACTGTGATGGATTTAGTGTTCGAATAGCCGGTAATTTTGATAAGCTGCTCTTCACCAACACCTTTTTTTGCTAGACTCGAAACAGCTGTACCGGTAGCGAATGATTAGTTATCTTCACGTTCTTCGGATCCAGGCTGGTTCTTGCTGCTTGTTGGACTGTCCAGGAGCTCATTGTATTACGTCCTACAGGAATATTCTTATACCAAGCTCTGCCTGACGAAATGAGTTTACAGTAATAAAGAGTCGACCTGACTCAATTCCCTTCCGCTTCTCCATCGAGTACAATCTTAAGAGGCACAAATCAGGATTAGTTTTATTCAAAATCAACCATTTTAATGGAACACATGGCTTTCTCCTGCCCTGCGTTGTTTTTGAGACTAAAAGATTAAAATTTATTCTTCCCGTTTTATTACCATCATCATGCTCTTTTTCTTAGAGAATGAGGAGAAACACCTGCTGCCTTCCCCACCGCGCCCTGCTCGAAAGCAAAAACGAAAAATACCATTTATTGTAATCCATCTGATGTAGCTTCGTCACAATTCTGAACAAAATTTGTATATTCATCATCTTTGAGAAACACTGAACTCTCCTTTTTTCCTCTGAAATCGTTTGAATCTGCTTTCTCTTAGTTTGTTTAGCCTCTCTCGCTGATTTGAATACAATATCGGTGAACGCATCAAACAAAATACCATATTCTTTGTAATACTTTTGTATCAGTGATTTTACGGACATATTCCATATTGTTTTCAGTGTCAAGTCCTTATATCCTTCTTCATCATTCTGCTTCCGCATATTGAATGTCCAGTCCGTTAATAATTCTGCCAGAAAGCTTATGGACGTCTCATTGTCCAGCTGATATCCTTTGGCCTGGCAAAAATCCATAAACTGACGCCATATATTATACTGTCTGTTGGTTTTGGTATTTGTTGGTTCACTTTCATTTATACTTTCCCCGATTGATTGTATTGAGCACTAACCAAAACGCGACATTTTTCTCGATTTTCGAAGTCTATCTGACATTTATTTGTGTTGTTCACTGGCGTCTAGCGACATAGTGTTGTTATGACGACTTGATGCATTCGAAGTGCAATCTTCGCCCTGCAGTGCAATTACCGTGGTAATTTGTCGATAAATGCCCTGCTCTTATGGGACAGTTTTCATATAATACGTCGTTCTGCGCCTGTCATAGAAAAACATAGTCCCTTCCATACACGGCAACAATATTAGATTTTAGCTGTTGGTTTTTTATCACAAGACAAGACTAGACAACCTCGAGCTAGAATCAAATACTTTTTCCCTCGTATTTTGATTGAATATCTTCAATTATAGAGACGAGGATAGAAAGCCCAGAGATTTGAAAAATGGTGATATAGAACATTTTTTGATACTCTATGTTGAATTTCACCTTGTAGGAAGATCAAATTAACCCACCAACAATCGATATTCTCGATGAATCGTACCTGTTGATTACAAGATATTCATATAACGAAGTAAACCTACGAAATAAATTGATGGTCTTGAATATAAGACATCAAAGGGAAATTGTCTGGAGGAACGTTAATTAGGTAGTATGAAATAATGTTGTATTCATCGATTCAGTTTTTGTCATATATAAGCTCAAATGGGATGTTTAATTGAGCAGAGTCATCATATTTTCTTCACTCATTGGGTATAATAATGAGCTCAAGCTGAGGTCTCATCGCTTGAAACAACCATTCAATATTTTTTCTACTCTCATAACTAAAATTGCATTTGGCGTACGGATATGTACCACGCTGAATGATCGATTAATCACGGATTGTCGATCTGTGATTTATTCAAAATATTAAACACGTTACCATGGCAACACGAATTCTTCAACACATTACCATGGCAACGCAGTTCATAAAACACAGCTTCAGTAATTTGAGACATGTCTGGCCTGTCAATTGTATTAACTGTCAACTGTTATTTTCGAATTTTGTATCAGAATTATTCAAACAATATTCGTTTGTATCAGAATTCTCCATTGAAAATATATGCGAAAAGTAGACGAGAGTGAAATCGAAGAGAATGTTCTGGTACTTTCATATCTCCAAGAAGAGTAAAAATGAAGAATAGAATAGAATAGAATAGAATAGAATAGAATAGAATAGAATAGAATAGAATAGAATTTATTCATCACTGAAATTTTACATACACCTACAGAATAGTATATGGATGTAAAACTTATTGGACTAGTCAAAAACAGAAACAAAAACATTTAGAAGTATACAATTAAAAGCATAAAATACATATAATGGGAGTCAAATACTCTTAAACCTAGCATTTAAAAACTTCGGAATGAAATAACTATAGAAATAGATTATTCATCATAAATTTGCAATAGTGTTAAAAGATTTTATAGAATACTTACATTAGAATAGTCAAATATTTATGAATTGAGGAATTCATCAATTCCATAGTACTGTTTATCACATAAGAAAGTATGCAAGTTCTTCTTGAAAATAGTTATTGTGCTACTTGTATCCACAAAACTTCTTATTTTATTAAAACACTTAATGCCTACATATTTCGGCGAATTTTGGCAAACTCCAAGTCTAGAGTAGTGTTGGTGGATAGCTTCACTATTCCTCGTGGAATATGGATGCACATCGCGATTTTTTTGAAATTCTGCTTCATTTTCTTTTATATACATTATCAACTGGAAAATATACAGACAGGGGAGTGTAAGGATTTGAAATTGTTTGAATAGTGATCTACATGTTGAATGTGGGGGAGCTTTGTGAATAGTCTTCAATACTTTTTTTTGTGAGCATCCATCTTTGAGAACAATCTATTTATTGTGCGCTAAGCATGACAATTTGACAATAAACGTGAAACAAAGTTTAGTAAGCAATGGACTGGAGGACTGGACACATCTACAACCAATATCACTTATACGTGTCTCGCTGGTTGCATGCAGTTGCATGTATTATGTTCTCAATTCCCATTCCTTCCAAATTATATTGTAGGTTAGCAGGAATTGCAGGTATGTTAATGTAATTTCCGGAGTTCGTAAAAAAATCATAGTATGTAACGCGTTTATAAACTCTTCTAGACACTCTTTTATTAAACACTCGCCCCGCTCTGCTCCGCTCGTGCTTAAACTACTCGTTACTAAATGGAAGTTTATAACACTTGTTACATAATATACTATTGAAGCTACATGAGTCATACAGGGTGCCCAACTAGCATAAAAAGTCACAGGCACCATGGTTCAAGAAACTATTACCTATATTTAGTGATAATAACGTATTTATCACTTATTTCAGAACTTCATAGTATAAATGTCAGTGATAGTTATTTAGTGAGTGAAAATTACGTAGTTTTTACACTAGATAATAACTTCAAAGTGAGAAATTCTCATGGCTTATTACGAAGTAACTATTTCGAAACTGTCACTCCTCAAAACTAGGTACTCTTAAGGTTTCGGAACTTTGGATATATTATTACGGTAACGCTTACCACCCCAAGAAGGCTTCACAGTTGCAATTACTCTATGGTCACCAATTAGGTTTCTACGACGTTGTCGTTACTTGATCGATCACCTAATAATTTAGTCAATGCTTGGTGATATTTCAAGTAACATATTGGTAATTCCTACTCAAACAATTCCTTCATAGTTGAAACAACTTTTCGGTAATTATATTCAGTTGAAGTTACCAATACATAGGTTATCATAACTGACGAGTTCCAAAAGTAACTTTCTGATTCATTTTCGATTGGAAGCCATATTGATTGATGTGATAACCATTTGAACAGGAAACAATTTTGGTTTTTCTTGTTGATAAACATCATTTTATGAAGAATAATAGCATTCGTTCGATCACAAATTGCATAATAATGGAAATTAACATGATTTACGATGATTTTTGAAAAATAGCCGAATGAAATATAACCATATTTTTGGTGAAATGAGCCGTATTTTGTGGGCGCATCTTGAATTTCGAGGCAAAATCATCACATTTATCGAAAAACTGAATGTTGTTCGCATTTTTCAAGTTCGAGTATCAATTATTTCGCGTGTTTGTCCTTGTATTATTTATTGAATGGTTAGGCATATTGGACTTGTTCATTTTTCGTGAATGTGAACTTCATGGATGAAATGAAGAATAATAAAGAGAGAAAATAATATTTTTATGAAGTGGAAAAGAAATAGAAAGTCAGGTAGGAAAATTTACTACATCTTTACGTAATTTCGACGTCGACGGGTCGTAAGCATTACGTAATTGTGTGAGTTTCCGCTACGTCGGCAAACCGTAATAATTACTCGTGATTTGTTCCCCATTTTGGTCGTAAATACGTAGTAACGACGTAATTATAACGTAACCGCAACTAGTAAATATTACTTAATAGTCGACCCAATAGTCGTAATTACGTAATCGCGACTATAAATGCTAGTTGGGTGGGTCATGAGGTACTGTACATACTCCTATCACGAATAGAGGCCTCTGAGATGAATACCTACCTAATATCCATCAGAAAGTGTCTTCTCCACTTCTTTTCCAATATACAAGGTGTTCTTGAAATAAGTACGTAAGCCATAGGCCAATGCTGCAATCATTCGAGTAGGAAATTAGCATTCCGTGTAAGTTATACACTATAATTTTTCTACGGCTATAATAGATAACAGCGGTATTCTCGATTTCTCCGTCTTGTAGCCATCTGGTTACTTGTCAAGTAATGCTCATCTATTAGACAGAGCTGTCGTTGCTTCACATTTGAAATTCCTAGAGCGATGAGATATAATAACACAATGGGGTCATTGTGATATCATATACGGAAATAATATTGATGACATACAAAGTACCTCATTGACGTATGAAACAAGAGCAATTTTGTGTAATAGCCGTAGAAAAATATCATATCTCGATACTTTTTTCAGAAAAATGGTGGATACGGCAGTAATCGGTGCTGCTCTGGGTACTGGCACAGCTCTCTTGATTGCGATGACCATAGTGGTATACAAGTACTACAGCTTGAAGAAGAAGGCTAAGGAGTGGTCTTCCTTGGATCAGATGCCATCTCCGCCATATTTAGAAAAGGGTGGCAAGCCTTTTTTCCCTTTGTCAAAAACGGTGAATATTGAATTTTTTTTTGTGTATTGTCATTGTCATGAAATTGTGATAGATCAAAATACGACTAATTTCGTTGAGAAAAAATATGGCCTCCTTCACAAAGAATAATTACTCGAAGTTTTGTATTCCTGCTATACAGGCTGTCAATAAATAGGTGCGAAAAAATTCAGGAGTTGATTCACTAGGTTCATTCGGGTTCGATCAATTACTGTTCTAAAATTGTCAGGAGTTTGGGCAGTTGAATCGATCGCTTTCGAGTTTTGTGGAACTGTTCTAGGACTGACTCTTTACGCGTTCGGTTTTTTTTCAGAATTGTCCTGGGACTATCCTAGAACTATCCGAAACCAGTACCTGCTCTCGAGCGTAAACCGTTCTGGGATTATTTTTGGAACATGCTCATTTCATTTAGGATTCGATTCTGTGTGTCTTAACCTCATAATGTTATATTTCTGTTCATTCTGCTGTCTATTGCTGTTTCCAATATTTTCTCAATATTACGGAGTCAGTTGGTACATTTATTTGATGATAGAAGTTCTTCATCGTCAGGAAGCATTGGTGAAGGAGTAACTTGCTGAAGGTGCTGAAAATATTGTTCCTAATCTGATAATTATTCTCGAACTTTTGTTAGATTATCCATAAAATTTAGGAATATGACGAGGATAGTTTGCCATTATATTCAGATACACAATTCATTGAACATTTCGGGTAAGTGTCAGAATCCATGTAGATACAAGGGACAAAATATGTGGGAAGTCTAGCTACAAATGATATGATGGAATATATTAATCGTTCCTGCACAGAAGGTTTCCAGAGACATTAATAGACTCAAAGAAGAATTTGAAGCTTCAGAATATTATGTCAATAAAGATACAGGTTTCAAACTATTGTTGAGAGGTTATGTTTCTCAGATGGTATCTTCTGCCGCGTTCGGGTTTTCAGAATGTGTGAACCGTTCTGAAACAGTCCTAGGATCCGAAACGACAGTACTGAAATCGGAACCCGAATGATCCTCTTGTCATATTTTGAACCGGTTAAACTGGAAGTACATTATTATCAAGAGCGATAACGTCAGCGTCAGATGCATATATCTTGCGTCATTGCACTTGTCTGCAAAGTTCCATTTGTTACGCCCTTTTCGTATGTCAAATATATTTACTTGGTGAAGTATAGAACTTCATTCTCACCCTGTATACGCGCTTATGTTTCAGTGTTCCACGGAATAGTGGAAATTGAGTTTATTGGAATGTCAAACCAATCCTTGTTGAACAAAAAACTATTTAGGCCTTGAACAGATGTCGTAAATCATCTGTGATTCTGGGGAAACCACCTCAGAAAAATCGTTTCATCTTCATTGTAGGTCACGATGTCAAAATTCAGCTTCACTGATGAATCTTCGAGTTTCCAAAGCCTTCCAAAGCCAGGGAATAACTTTCGATTGCAACAGAGATGGCGTATATTAAAGATTCCTGTGGTTTTTATTCCATTGATCTCATTCACATAACTTCTGAACTCACGCACAGAGAGCACTGCGGTGGAAATCGATATGCTCAAAAGACTCATTTTAAAGCGACATCTGGTGTTTTTCAAGTATACAGCTTGTAGAGTCTCTCTAACGATTATAACCCATAGATTGTGAAGTTTTGAATTGAAGTTACTCTAGATTTTTTGATGGACACTTCTTGCTCTCGGGAAAATTTCAGAATCTGACTTCAGTTTTTAAAATTGTGAATACAGATTCCGCATAATATAGGACAGATAATTTTGAAATAGAGATCAGTACTGTCAATATTGCAATTGCAGATTATGCAAACATAATGCAGCTTCCGAAAAAACTCCAGAATATATTTGGAACATTTTGAGAACATACTATCGACCACTTGATTCAAATACTGCAATATGAATTTGTTTCATTAGTTTACGTGCAGAAACTGCGAATGAGTTGATATTGAACAAACAGTGCATTACGCTAAAATGAAAACTATGAGGAATATGATATACGAGAAATTGTACAGAATAGTCGAATTTATGCTACATATCTATTTTTATATTGATTCTTCCATGTACTAATAGTATCTGATATAGGTATTCATCACTCGAAATCATCAAAAAATATGTTTTCAATAATGAAAATAATCACCTCTCAAAAAACTCTCGATGGCGTGATATACTGGATGACTATCCACCCTCGAAAACTCCCAAAAAAAAAGATTTTGAAGAAAAAACAACGAAATACGTCGATTTTTATTTGGAGGGGGAAACCGTTTGACGCAAAGAAGATAATACATACTTCAACCTCCTACACCCCAGAGCAAACCAGTCTATAATTTGAATTTGGTGTTATACATCATTGCAAAGGTTATTCAATTCTGACAAAAGCATTGCAAAGTTTTTTGAATTGTAACAACCCGTTTTCCAGATATTGAAGTTCAAATTTTATGGTTTTTAATTGTCAGTGAATGAATGTACGGAATGAATTAACGAAAAGTTATTCACAAAAATGTTCAAAATGACCTCCATCGACACCCAGGCAGTGATAGAGTCTATTTGCAGATTCCTCTTGAACGTTTAAAAATGTTTCTATATGGTTATAGCCTGGCATTCAAATCTCGATCTATTTTCTAAACTGTCAAGATCTGTAGGTTCATTTAAGAACGGATTTTAGCTGACTTCAAAGAAAGAACTCGTAGGGTGCCAAGTCCAGCGAGCGTGCTGGCCATACTATTGGTCCTCTACGACCAACGACCTATTCATTCATTTGGGATATTTGAAACAACTCACCTCAGTCCCAGATGCAGGGTGGTCAAGGTGAAAAATGGAAATCAACAAGTTGTACTTACCTACCTTATGCACTGACCAAATTGCATTCGAATTTTATCTTTCAACTTTACCACCCTGTATCTCGAAATCGGAGCAATTTCGGACTGAGGTGAATTGCTGGTTTATGTTTTCAAGCAAATAAAGACTATAGTAAACAGGAACTTGAGGATTAGAAAATGCATTTCCTGATGGACTGACATTGTTTATTCACAAGAATTTCCTCTTCTGACTTCAAAATAATAGAAAAAAATGTGAAACTAGTAAACACACAACGCAGTACACGTTGCCTGTCGGTGAAGATCACTCTCGTGAAAAGTTGGAATTTTGATTGAAATGGCCCTCCAGTGAATATTTTCAATAAAACAAGATTTTCCAGCGATGATTTCGCGCTTTTATATCGTTGTTCCAATGTTCAAAATTATTTTTCAAATCACTTCACGAATCCTAAATCAACCTGAAACGTTTTCAAATCAATTTCAGTGGCAATTGAGAGTGACGTTAACCGACTTTGCTTATACAACATTCGACAGCACTATCTGGATAATGACATAAACTGAACTGGAAATCGCCCTTGTTTCATGTCGCATAGAAACTGTTTTCGCATCACGGGATAATGGTAAAGGGTCATTTAAAGGACCTTCCAAACGAAATTCGTATTGCTGGATACTCATCCAGTGGAGGACGAAATGTAATCCATTTCCTGATTATTTCCTGGCATTTCTTCTTCTTCCCTAACTGAATGTGGAATGTGGTTATTGTGATAGGTATTTCACTTCACTGCTAATCCCAGCTGATCGAAACATACAACTGCTTTATCACTACTGCACTCCAAATATATTATATCACAGAGATATAGCATAGATGAATGAAAGAGTCGAATGCAATCACAGGTTAACTTGAAAGTTGAAACTAATGAAACTCATATGAAATGTTTCATCACAACAAAGATAGAATGATTTACGGTAACCTGTCTCTTCCCTACTCGTGTTGTTCAATGGTGGATTGGTGTTTACGTTTTCTTTAATCTAATAATTAAAGTAAGTACTTTGGATTTTTTTCTCTCATCTGAACAGGCAAGAAAGTGAAGACATACGTTCATTGTCTTTGGTTATGTGAAATATCTAATCATTTGGCGTGTTTTGTTTCCTAAAAAGGACTGAATTTGTTAGTGTCAACACTGTGAACTGATTGTTGAGCAGGTTTTGTTAAACAATGGTTATTAATTGTGTCGCCTTTGGATACAAGAACGAGCAAGACGAAAGAAAATTGTCATTCCATGGGTAAGTTGTATATTGTTCAGATTTTTGGAAAATATAGTTCTTGAAATGATCATCAGTTAGGTGTAAACTAAAACTGTATTATTTTTCAAAGTTAAATACTTTCATGACTTTCAATTTCTAATCGGGATATGTTTTTAGGCAGTGACCTAATGGAAAAACAGGAACCTATGGAAATTATGCTCAAAATGGATCTTAGGTACTCAATACCATTCAGGAACCTCTTTTGAAATTTTTCCTATCGTTTCTCTTTTTCTTCTGATAGTGCTGAGACATTGTGCTTCGCTCACCCTGTACAATATATTGTGACATTTGAATGAAAATATATAATTTCAATGTTGTATTCATTTGACTTCCTAATCCTGTAAGAATAAAATGAAATTTCATGTTTTAGTCAATAAAAAAATCAATAATAATTTTTTAATGATAATCGATTGCAACATTTTCCTTTTTTCTATATGAATATTGTTATTTAATCACGTTAACTCTTAAATGAAAGCAAGAAACGAGAAAATATTTCAAATAATGCGAGCGCTTTCCATTAGCCAACATAAGATAGAAAGAGATAGGTATCCGTAAACACTGCGGGTTGCCTGAACAGTATTTTTGTCTCACTCATCGTTCACAGAGGGTCCCTTCCAGTTGTTTATATTGAGTTCATTGGTATTAACACCCGGTTAGCTGTGTTCCACTAAACATGTATCATCTCGGCTCGATATCCGGTCCTCACCCTCCCATACCGACGCCCCTGCTGTCTCACCCCTAACCTGTTGAGTCCAGTCCGGAGCATCGAAATCGGGCGTCAGTACGTCTAGATGCGTCGCGAGAACCTCACGGCCTCCGGGGTGTGAATTGGGAACGAAATGAGCGGGGTCAATCGGTGCTAAATCGGGGCGGAATTATGTC